CTAAATAACTAAATAACTAAATAAATAAATAAATAAATATTGCAGCACAAACATTCGACAGCCCTTTTGTTAGATTTGAAAAAGCTGGGGTGGGGGGGGGGCAACTTCACTCAGGTGTTTTATGGGACTTGCAAATGACTGGTGAGAATATAAATAAATGATAAAACTCTAATATGTACCTCGCTTAGTGTGAAAAATAAGGGTAGAAATTTGTTGATGCTTCATTTTTCCCTCCCAGATTTTTGGTAACAGTCCAGGAACTCAAACCGGCAACACAGGCTTGTCTTTTCTAGCAAGTGCACCCCCCCCCCCCCCTTCCTCTATCTGCTTCTCTAAAACCTGAATCAAAACTCAACAGATGTTGTTAAAGTCATAAATAAGTGCTATATAAGTTTATATTTTGCATTAACCATTTTTGTCTTTACTTTTTGCCACTGGCAGTAAGTGAGGCAAAGGGTTTTACTGTGAATTTCAGGTTTTATTTTGAAAGTGTTACTTCCTGTAAAGACTTAATCTGAATAAAAGAAAAGAGAGACTGAACAATTTCAAAAGCACAGATCCATAGTTTTGTGACTGTGCTAGTTGTGTATCACTGGAAATAACATGAAAAAATGTAGAAAAAACTCTTTAATATTTTCTGTATTTTTGCTTGTTGACTATTTTTTTCTTTTTTTTCAGATAATTTTTCTTGTCTTAATTTTCCAAGAGTCCTTCCAGAGTGACAGATAATAGAGCTGCTGTCATGACAATTATTGTAAAGTGTGTGGTTTTGAAAAAAAAGAAATTCAGTGTTTACAACCAAATGGGACCATTTTAATGATCCCAATCTTCATTTTTATTTTATTTTTTTACATTTTGCTAAGTAGATCCCATACAGACTGCAAATATATTGGAAATAATCGTGCTATAAATGTTACTGCTTTGAAGACAATTTCCTGATTGAATTAGATTTGTTTTTCTCTAATTTGAATTGAAAATTACAAAAATCAAAAACCTAAATATATCTGTATTAAACAGACCAAACTGTCACTAACCTAAAAAAATTGGATTTAAGGATCTCTCCCCTGAGCTTTTTCAGCCATTTCTTTTAAAGTTACTGTTGCTCTTCAGCGTCCAGCAGACGAAAACTGATTTCTTTCATAAMCTTATTAAACAAAGATCTCGTGTTAAAAGAACTGCGTGAAGCTAAATTAATTTTCATTTTCCATTTCAATTAAAGCGGCACAAAGGCAGAGTGTGTCTTCATCAGCAGTTCTACAATTAAGCTCAGATTTTAGACAAMAATTTTATCTGCTTTCAGATAAAGATCTCCTTTTCTTTTTGTCTGGTAAGCTGTACTTTTATATGTGATTGGATTTATTTAATACATTATTGTATGAGAGGGTTTAAAGAAGCTGCTCGAGTTTATTACTGCACGAGGTGTGGAGTGTGTCACGAGCTGAAGGAGACCCTCGTGTGACGTTTATGCCTGACAGAAGATGGAGAGGCACAACAATCAGCTAAATGTTTATGAGACTTTCATTTTGGATATGGAAAAGTGATGATTTGAATTTAGATAAGAATTCGACTGCAGGAGTTTACCTGGGCTRTAAAATGTTGCTTTGTGTCGTGTTCCCTCCTGCTGATGTAAATCAGATGTGTCATGTTTCAATCAGCAAAAATGGTTGCAGTTTTAGTCTTAAAAAAGCCCCAAATGCTACAAATGTAAGTGACAATTTCATAATTTACTCCTGAACAACTCTGAGTTGTGTGACTCTGCAGCAGCGGTGTCCAGTCCTGGCACTGGAAGGCCACACGCTCCTGCACGTTTCAGACGTTTCTCTGCTTCAACACACCTGATTTGAATGAATGGGTGATTCTGCAGAGTTTGAGGACACACTGAAGAGGTGGTTCAAACAGTGAAATGGGTACACTGGGGCAGGGGAACAACTAAAACATGCAAAATATTGGTGGTGAAGTACCGGAACTGGACACGGATGAAGGGAGGCTAAAAGTAGAGCACTTATGTTGAAATCTGTGATGACATTTGCTCATTTAAAAATTAAAACAGCAGGTTTCTGTACAGTGTGAGCAGAAGGCTTACTCTGGATTAATTTCTTGCCTAACTGAAGGAAAAATAATTTCGTGACACTGCAAAAGTGAAAGATGTTTTGCTGAGTACGACACATGCAGATAAACGTGAGTTCAGGGCCAAACTAACCACTACAAATCTCCTACAGAAGACCTGGGGCCGTGAAAGATCGAACCTCAGGGTTCGAGGATTTTCTGTATTCAAATGTTTGAGATAGTCTTTTTAAAAACAGTGTCTCTGTCTTTTTAAAGCACTAAGAGTGATTTTTTTTTCTCAGTGCTGCAGAGACCATCCGTCTGTGTCCACAAACTGAACTGAAAAGGATCATATCTTTCCTGCAGAGCTAGTGAAAAATATCATAACCCCTTAAGGGATTACAATGTGATAATTCCCTTCAAATTCTTATACTTATTAATTTCTACTGCCAAGTGTATGGCTGCTTTCCAGACCTTCCCTTTTACAGCCCTCAACCATGAATATGGGTCATTGCACTTTTACACTCTGCTCTAAAGTTGACTTTATTAAGCTGCAGAAAAAAAAGTCAGCTGTGTTGTTTATAAAATACTGGAAACTCAGTCTATCACAGAAGAAAGAAAAGTTTTATGACAAGATACTTAACATTAGTCTGGTAAAAACCAGACCCTTGTCCTCCACTTTGCTTCGTACGAGGGTCTGGACTCTCGGCTAGAAGCAGTTCTTACTGGCGGCGTGGCCTCTACTGAAGTTTAAAATGATTGGATCGGTTGGCTGCGACYTATGTGTGCCAGCTCCACTGTGACGGAGGCTAAGCTAAGAAGCTAACCGGAAATCGTGTGTGCTGTAAACAACTCTACTGAGAGGAGAAATAWATCGAGCCGKACGAGACGACTGTAAATGAGAYCTGCAGCTTTGTCAGACAAATTTAATTTAATTTGGAAGCCTTATCAACACAGACTGGCTTCATTCACTTCCTCCACTGCGGCATGCTAAACTAACTAGCAGACACTGCACAGAAAATAGACGCCTCCCTGGTGAGGTGTTCTGGGCATGTCCAACTGGGAGGAGGACCAGAGGAAGACCCAGGACACTCTGGAGGGACTATGGCTACGTTCACACTGCAGGCAAGTGCAACCCAAATCCGATTTTTTTTTTTTGCCCCGTCTGACCCATATCAGATTTTTTTTTACAGTCTGAACGCGACAAATCAGATTTTTTGTTTTTAAATCTGACCCAGGCCGTTTTAGTATGTGGTTCTTAATCAGATACATATCTGTTTTCAAAGTGACTGCAGTGTGAACGCTCATGTCACATTCCATCTGACTTTTTCATCAGTGAGGAGGGGTGAAGGATCGATAAGACACTAACCTCAAGTCACACTGTTTAAATCTGCAGCTCCGTGTGTTTACAGCTCCAAAACACAAGTCCAGTTGCTTCATCTTTTTTACTTTTCATTTTCCATGTAGATYGTAACGTCCAGCCWGGGTCYTGGAGCGTATCGATCCTAAAGTTACTCAGTCGATACTTTATTTCCCGCTCGTTGTTTCGTTCTAAAATTAAAATGTTTCACCGGAGCATCCTGTCAGAGGCAGGTTCAGATATAAACACTGAACTAAACAAGCATGTCAGATAATTATTTAATCGTCTCTGATTAAACAACTTCAGATTTGATGTGCAAAAAGTAGCATCCATGCTAGCTCTGTAAACAAACAAGCCGGCTGAATGAGACGTCACGTCTTTACTGCGCATGCGTGTCACATCAGTGCTGTGTGGCGTTCACACTGGAGTCTGCAGGTCACATTTAAAATGAAATGAGAACGTTTACACCAAAAMATCCATTGTTTTTCCAGATATCAGAACTGAGCATTAAGACCTGCTGTGTGAACGTAGCCTATGTCTCTCAGCTGGCCTGGGAACGCCTTGGGATTCCACCAGACGAGCTGGGCCAAGTGACTGGGGAGAGGGAAGTCTGGGTCTCACTGCTTAGGCTACTGCCCCCGGGACTCAACCCCGGATAACATGGATGGATGGATGGATGGATGGATGGATGGAATGACAAAAATCTTTGAATCCTTAAAATTCACTCTGTCTGGGAGGTGCCATATATCTGGATGAATAATTCTTTATTTTGCGGAATGATGACGAGGTGAAATAAAAACAAGATAAAGCAAAATTTTTATGAAATATTATTTACAGTTTTGTAAGAGATAGAAGGTACAGATTATTGTGTGAAATTGTAAGGAGTAGAAGTTGGCTGAAAAATAATTACTCAAGTCTAAATAACCAGAAATTCTACTAATTGTACTTCATGACTTTATACCTCTGTTAGTCGTTTTCTTTTTGAAGTTAGTTTAAAGATATATAATAACAATTAACAACAAGAATGAGAATGTCTGATAATGAAAAAAAAACTTACGCAACTGAAATGTGGGACTTGAAGCAAGTTCCTGATCACCAAACAATGACGCAAACACTGTGTGTGTGTGTGTGTGTGT